AAATTATTGTCGCTTGACTTCAGTGCCATGAGAAAAAGACTTCCGGATGCATCAGCTCTTAGCGGGATTCAAATTTCTTCTCATTTTCACCGTCGCTTGACATCCAACGAGGTAGTGCACTTGTAAGTGCTAAGTGACGTGGCAAGGTTGTTTAGTATCATCTCGTGGACATGCTTCAACCAGTACTACCACAACCGCAATACGTGCGCTAAAGATCAAAATGGATCAGAAAGTGAGGCTAATGGCTGCATGCTCGATGTGCGCTTAACGTCTTTCTTTTTTGTTGCCTGCTGGTTTGAACAGAATTTTTTCTCGCTCGCTAGGCCTATCAACAAATCACGTCTAAGTTGCGGCTAAAACAGTTTGCGACAGAATGAAGTCCCTTAAAATGTCTTATCCAATCTCAAAACATTCATTTGCGTGCAGGGTAGATTAAAATATTCAAATACTAGGCTAAACAGAACAAGAAAAACGAAGGGAAAACGGTAACAAGGGAAGACTGAGAGAAAAACTGAGCACAGAAAACAATCAGAAGTTGCAGAATTCCTTTGCCATTCATTCATTCTCTTCGAAAGCCACTATTCCTTACGCAGGGGAAAGAATGTCAGGTTCCTAAAGGTCGCCAATCAGTGAAGCTCCACAGGTTAGATTCAGATATGCACAGTGCTAGGTGTTTCGCATTCGGTCTAGGGTTTGCAACGCAAGTCTGTCTTATAAAATTTTCATTGCCATCCTGATGATTTTTCCAATCCATCGCAGTTCCAGCTGTTGAGAAAGACTGAGAGAAGTTCACCGAGCTAAACACTTCTGTCGATATTAAGCACCCCTTACTATGTGTAAACTGCACCGATCGACTGGAAGACAAATGACAGTACCGCTCATCCTCCTCTTCATTACAACCAAGGTTTAGCTTCTTCACCATTGCACTGTCCTAAACGACTCTGGTCTATTCCGATCTCCGGCCCAGCATTACTCCTGAATCTGCTATCGAGAAACAACTACTAAAATTCTACATTTATCTCATGTTACTCATTAACTCGTGATTTACACCGAAAGTACAACATCCGGTATCTTCAGTTGATCTTCTTATCTGCATAATGACCATTCATGCGGCAGCGGGCTGATTATGCGCGTAAAACTTTTTATTAACGAAAGGCACATATCGATCGTTCATCTCGTTTATATAGTACAAAATGTTTAAGGGTTTTATGTTGTCACCCCCTCCAATTCGTCCATAAAAGCAACTCAAACGTTTAAAAACGTGACATAACTGACTTGCTTTGCGAAGAGATCACGTGCATATGTTGATATCGACGTTATAAGAACAACAGAATCAAGCGTGATACCAGAAATCAACCGTCAGTGATACATAATGTTCACGGATAAAAGACTAATTGATGTTGATTTTTTTAATCGTCCGGTTCAGACGATAGATGCGAAAAGACGTGCGCAGAGTCAGTCGGCGCATCACCTAGAAGGCTATTCAGCAAAAGACTTAGCATCAGGATGATGATCAGAGAGATCATGCAGAAGCACATCAGCATCCAGTTGCCGAAATATTCTTGGCTGTGTAAGAACAAGAGGCCACATACGGCGAGTGCGTTCAGGGGGACTCGAACCAACACGAGGAGGGCCGAACGATTTTCTGCCGGCAACAGATGCTTCTGCAAGTACTGCATGGTCGGGAAGTACATTCCGACACCAAACTCGTACAGACAGAACGTAACCACCAGTACGTAAAAACGCAAGACGCTTGTTGCAGTCGGATATGAGATGATCACCGCCGCGGTCATGCCAATGAAACTCAACGAGACCGACAACCACAGAAGCGTAGATTCTTGGATCATACAACGCAGCCTGTGATGCAAAAGAGTGCCAAGCAAAGCGGACGCCATGAAGCACGCGAATATGACGCCGAAATTTGGTCCATCCAAAATCAGCGGTCGACTGGGCAGAAGCAGCGGGGTCCACAGGAATATAAACAAACACAAAGTGCTTTCAAACAGCGCTTGAATCGTACATAGGAGTAGAACTTTCGGACGGACAACCAAAACTCGAATGGCCCCCAAAGCTTCACCACAGAAGTACGATCGTTTTGAGATATCCAATCTATTCGGGGGCCATTTCTGGAATATCCATGTTCCGGAGGCTATGTGAAACACCACAGACATCAGAAACGGAGAAACAACCAACCCGGACACTCGTACCAACATATCGGCGAAATATCCTAAAACAGAATCACATAAACTTTGTTAATCAACATTGAATTACTTCATATCAACGACAACCTCCGGGAAATGAGCCACCGCTCCGATGCAGAGAAAAAAACCCAGAGAAGAGGCAGCTGTGCAAGAGCCTCCTGAAGCAAACACCGAGCAATCCCAGCCTCACAGAGCCGTAACTTAAAATCCAATTCTGTCGGGTGGAAGGTCAAATGTACGTTTCGTACAAGATGTCTGGCAAGCTTTGATAGTAGCCAAAACCATTTATCGAGATCGAATAAAATGAAAACTTAAAAACAAACAAACATGCCCCCCAGTCCCCTGTGTACATCTGAACTCAGACTACATCGCACGACTAACGGACCAGCGACGGACTTCAGCAGTAAAGGATTGGTATCCAAGGGGCTGCAAGTGCCGACTTGGATGACGATGAGAAAACAAAGCGATACGGAAGCTTGCAGTGACAAATCGCATAAGACAAATTAACGTGGGCATCGAGACTTCGCAATGATGATCTTAGTTAATTAAAAAGAACGATCTGTCAGCTGTTGTTGTATACAACGAACTGAAGGATAATAAGATATTTATTAGTGTACAGTTATGCATACGTTAATGCACACGTAATTTGGCGACGTAATGGTAATAACCATATGTCAACGATGCCGTACGGTAGAGAAACATCATTGCTACGGAAGAGAAGAGATGTAATCTGCTTGTTACTGAAAGATTCATCGAAAGAAAGATGTTGCGAATGTCGCTGCGAGGTCACAGCTTCCAAATAAACAGATCAAACAACAAATAGGAGCAAAAATGCTATCTAACAAAGCTGGGGGAAGGTAAGTATATAGCGGGCAGGTCGGAACATTAGCTCGATTAACAGACCACAAACAGATAGTGGCTTTGGCTAAATACTCATGGAACTGTGGGGTGGTAAAAGACAATAAAGATGAGACGACTCAATGTCTGCCTTACCTAAATCGTTGTGACCAAGGAAAGCATGACATGAATGAACTGCTGCGACCGGCACAATGTGCGACTGCTGAATAGTGATCGATGACGCAAATCAAACATGACAATGAGGACGGAGGAAAATTCCAGATGTCGATCTTGTTCGCAAAGGGCGAAAGGTATCCGAACTTCTCATAGACCGAGCAATAATAAGCTTTTGTCCGCAGATGGCCTGTGATCCGCCAAAGGACCGCCGCAGATCGGTAGTCTCAGAGTACAGGTTCTCCAAAAAATCATTATCGATTTCCCTCTTTTGTAGATTTTACTATTCCTGATGCAGATTTGCAAAGTACGGTGTATCAAATATAAGAGAAAAACGAAGCACCAGGCTTGTCACACCAAATATGCCTCTTCTTCGTTGCCACGGCGTAGAGGTTTAAAATCTATTTTCGTTTCCCTAAAGTTCACATCTTTCGTAAACAACTTCTCCAGTACTCTTTAATACAGCTTGATCGAATGACGGACCTATTTTATATGTTAGAATGTTCGATATTTTTCACAGGATAACACGAGCCGTTTTATTCTATACACTGGCCTTAAAATTTTTGGTAACCTTTCGCACCCATGGTTTTATTAAACATTAGTAAGAGACAAACGAAACCTTGCAATTTTCGTGCCTTCCATGTTTAGATGTGCTACTTTGCTCTGGGTGCACGGTTTTTTCTTTCAACTTATATTCGGATTTCTTCCATTTGATTGACTCACGCTTAATCGTTGAACTGTCAGCTTCGTAAATGATTGCTATCACTAACGTTATGCAACGAGGCATACAGCAGCTGTAACCTCGGCTACGAAGCTTTCAGTTTTCGTGCTGCATACAACTGAAGCGCCAGCATTTTTTAATCAACAAGATGAACATTTTATTTCACTGACGTCAACCACTATAGTCGTGAGACAAACATAGCATCATTTACCTTTTGCTTCCTGTGTATCATCCACTATCTTTTCCGAAATAACAATTTAAACTAATAAACCATTTTTTGTGAATAACCCAATACCTGTGAACAGCGGACACATAACCGTTAGACTTATGCTTTGATTAATTCTTAGATTAAATCACGAATTCTGTCAGGTCAGTCGATAATCGCTTTCTCGATATGTAGCTTTACATCACAACATAATCGTATACTTCGCCAACTGCAGGTCATTGAGTAGATATCCAAATTCTGTGAGCGGTAATAAGAGAATCTGTAAGAACATCCTGGTATGAAATACGTGCTTATTAATGCTGATTCGTGGACCTGACATGCAACCATTAGTGAATCAAAGAAGATATTATCTAAGTCCCCCAACTACCGTTTCTGTTATTCACATTTTTTCCGCAGGTTGTTCGCAAATGGTCACCTGTTGAAAATGCTGCTTCGAAGCAAGGCATAGATAACATACAAGATATCCTTTTCGTTCCTTTAGATGAGTGGCAGCAAAAAGGCTAAGGCAATCATACGGTAATATAAACTACGTAAATTATTTTTTTGTATGGGCAATTTTGTAAATCATCTAACGAAGATCTAAAGAGACCGAACAATATTGAAATCAGAACAATGTGGAAGTATCATTAAGATTCATATGCTAAAGATTTCCTTCAGGGAGGTGAGCAAACAAGCATGTGTCTTTTGAGCTCATCGTCTTGAACTCTGTATAAATTGAACATCTCTGGTCTGTGAAGTTTGTTACATTCGCAGCTATTACATCATTTCTGCTATAAGAGTACCAGTTACTGCATTGTACAAAGAACAAATCCTCCCCGAAACAACACTTACCTTTACCTTTTTCCCGAGGGTAATATTTACCGCATTTTCATTCCCAAACGAGAAGCTCATGTTTGAGTAAATAGTTTATGCTTAACCAAGGCAAGCCTCCTGTACACATCAACTGAGGTCACTTGTACACGGAAGAGAATAGTCATTCCTTACGTAGTGCTGCCATTTAATCCTCGTCGTGCGTCAAAGCCAACTCTGATATACGCAGTAAAACAGTGTACTAAAAACCTGAAGTGCAAAATA